GCATATTTTTTCATATACATATTTTGTTATTTATAATCATAATTTTTATTTTATTTTATTTTTCTTTATACATTTATATATATATTTCATTCGTTATTTATTTTATTTTATTTAAATTTTTCTTCTATTTTGTTTATATTCGAATATCTTAGCCTTATGATGAGCAATAGATTTGGCTGAAAACGTTTGTTTTTCATTAAANTATATATATTAAATTATATATATATATAATATAATATATATATATATATATTTCAGTCGTTATTTTATTTTATTTGTATTTAAATTTTTGTTCTATTTTGTTTATATTCGAATATCTTAGCCTGATGATGGCCAACAGATTTGGCTGAAAGCGTTTGCTTTTTCATTAAATTTTCTCAGTAAATTAAGGTGTTATGTTTTTTTGATAGAAGTATCGATTCAGAAGTTAGTGGCACCGAGATCACCTGGCGTCATTAGACGTCATGACACGAATCATCGATGACGTTGCTATTTAAATTATATTTCAATTCTCTTTCGGGAAAGAGACTACTTACCGTTTTTACAGGCCACAGTTAAATTTAATTAATAAAAACCACGTTACTTGACATTTACGTAATATAAATGGTATCAAAGAATTTAAGTTTAAAGGTAAAATCTGCGTAAACTGGAATCGCACGGCATCGAATATTTCTTCCGGTTTGGCAAGTTTCCATTTTAAACAGGTTTTTTTTCTAACATAGAAAATCGTTCCCTAATGAAGAATTTTTTCCCGTTTAAGCAGGTTTCCGTTCTACGAAGGTTCCGTTTTAGATAAGTTTTACTGTGTACATAACAATTGTATACTGGGTAAGTATAAAAATATATAATATTATAGATTTATATACACAGTAACATAATTTTTTCCTCGGATTATCGAAAATCGCTTGAAACATAAACAATTTATAAATTATTAGAGAGGTTGAGGCGCACGTTTTAAACGTGTAAACGTGTACGTGTGACGTTCGGCGCCGCTTTCCCGTAAGCCTAAAAGTTTGACAATGGTGTTTGGATAGTCGGTGGAATCACGCTCGACATTCCAAACACCATCGTCAAACTTTTAGGCTTACGGGAAAGCGGCGCCGAACGTCACACGTACACGTTTACACGTTTAAAACGTGCGCCTCAACCTATTATAAACTATATAAAGTCCACTTCATGTCAATATCTTTCATACAAGTAATCTTTAAATAGATTTTGTAATTTTAAATATAAAATATTATAAATTTATGTTTATAAATTCAAACGAATTAAGATTTTCATTATTAACTAATATTCTTTCAGGAAATAATAGATTCTATAATATTGTTGATGGGTTTTACGACGCTTGGCTAAGTGAATAAAACCACTGAACACAATTGGTCATGGGTTCACACCTTACCAACAGGCAGACCACGTGAAGTTTCCAGGTTTTTTTCCACTTTTGTAACACCTAAATAAGGTAGTTTCCCTTAGAAAGTCTTCCTAGAAGGCATGCCACCTCCCAGGAGGACTTTCTATGTGACCCCTCTATAGATTGCCATATAAAAACAACACATAATTGTATAATTTTTATTAAATCATACTTTATTCGCCAACAATACATTTATTTGTGAGCTAAATGTGGTAAACATTCTCCTTTGTTCCGAAAGATCTAGATTTTATTCAAATTTTTCACTCCTCATCAATATTGGTTGATCCCGTTGTTGATCAGACTAATCCATTTAGTTATTTCCAAAAATTTTCAAGTTATTTTTTATATTATAAGTATATTTCATACAAACAGACAGTAAACCTAAAGTTATAACTTAAGAACAATAAAACCATAAACTATAAAATAATTAATTATTCGAGTTTTAAAAAGAAATTTTAAATTTATTTTTAACAAACAGCAACACCGAAAACAATTTTTAAAAGAAAATAAATAGTAAAGTTTGCTATTTATTTTCTTTGAATACAATACAAATACAATAAATCTCGAGTAATTTATTGATACATTATACGAGCAATTACTTATTGTGATGTCGTCACAATACAGCAATTTTTAATCATATTTTAATTTTTAAGTTAAAATAAAGCTTAGGCGACACCTAAGCTTTCCCTATCTAATCTCGATTTTCATCTATCTAACTCCGTTCTAAAAATTAACAAAAGGCGAACAGACGTGGAGTTTCACTTTTGTAACACCTAAATAGGGCCAATTTCCCATAAAAAGTCCCTTTTGGGAACTGGACAATGGGACATTATGGAATTCTATTGTCCCTATGGGAACTGTAAAAATGGAATTTCACAAGTAATTGAAATAATTTTCAAAATGTTTGTACGAAGACCATAATTGCTATACATTATAGTTTCAAAAACGCTTAAATTTACTTATTTACAAACATTATCGTAGATTAAAAAAAATATTTTAGATATCTGTCCATTTATACAGACATAGTGTTTGTTCTGTTATTGTACCAGTAGCGTGCCGTGACATTTGATGACAGGGAAGCTGTGTTTCTGTAATAAGCCGATTTCCAGGGGCAATCAGTTAATTCTTTAAATGTATTTTTAATAGATTATTTATCTGACGTAATTAATAAATAAACAAGTTCAATATGATTACCTCTAATTACTTCAATATAATTATCAAAGCGAGAATCCGCATTTAGAGAGCATAGATTCTTTATGCCCTCTAAATACCGATTCTCGCTTTGATAAAAACATATAAGATCTATTAATTTAAATATACCTACGCCGTAACTATCTCGTTATAATTTTCAATATTTATTTTATATTATTTACTAATGTTACTAATTTCTATTCCGCTTTGATTTCCAAATTGCTTCAAATACAAAAGAATCGACGATTTTTCGTGTCTTTTGCCAGCTAAATTGTCAAAGCCATTCTTATTACACACACTAATTTCATTTGAAAATAGTAGGCAAGCCAACAAAACAATTTTTGCATTTTTATGCATTTACAGAGCCATTTTATCGTGAAAATGTCGAACAAATTTTTTATTGAAGTGTTGATATTTAACTTAGGCATTGGCCTTTCTCTTAATAATGTTTTCTTTTTCATTATATGATCTTGAGCCAAAACTTTTTAAAAATAAATTTTCAATATCGCAATTACATTCTGAATCGCTAGCCACGATATAAGGGCTAAAATTAAAAATAAAATTATAAAAACTTACTTGATTAAATAAAATGTGTGGTAGATATACATACCTGGTACAAAATATTCTTCAATTGTGTGAATATACTTTTTAAAAAAAATTATAATTAAATATAGCTTTGTAAAGAAACGTACATAAAAATAACATAAAATCTTCTTTACTTTTTAAATCTTAATCATTTAGTCAAATAGCTCCCTACCAGTGGAATCAGAGACGGTCCTGCTAGGTGTGAGGTGTGTGCATGTACGCGAGCTGCCAAATCCCGAGGGTGCCCATACCGGTCAATGTCAAATGCCTGTTTAGTCGCATCACTAGTATACCTCAAAGGACGCAACAAGGTTGTTGTAAATTTTAAACGTTTCTCACCATAGCTGTAAAAATCTAAATATGTTAAACTTAATAGTCATTTGTTTTCTAACTAATTCGTTTTAGGACCAGGTGTCCACGGAAATTTCCAAAGTTTACAACTTTTCGATCACTCTCATTGAACTGGAAAAATTTCTGTTTATATTACGTCTAATATTACGAAGAAATCAGTCCCCACTGTACTCGGATAGAGATGGTTCGGTTTAAGCTTTTGTTTAAGTAATATTCCGGCTCCTTCATCTGGGTTTTGTTTATGTCCCCAATTCCCTAATCGCTTAATTATTTAACTACTTCTTAAGAAATAATTCTACTTCTAATTCTACTTAAATTTAACTACTTCTTAAGTAGAAATAAGTCGAAACCGGTTACTTTGTACTCGAATATTTGTAGTCTCGGGAAAAAAGTGGAAAGACAAATTTTTATTACAACGGATACATAAATCGTAAATTTAAGGAAAATAAATTCTATAGCTTTTTCTGTACCTCGTTCATCTCTCCCACTCATTAAATTTAGTTGTAAATGATTCTACCAAAGTAACAGTTAATTTTTTAACATTATACAAGAATTGTACACGTTTTTTTCTACATCCCCTTATAGATGGGACATACGAAATCGTAATATCACTGGTTTGACATTGAAATCCGTAAACAATATAAGATGGGAGAGCGGAATAAAAATATCAAATACAGTATTTTAATGGATTTTTTAAAACTCCTGTCAATTATACAGAACTATCATAAAAACATACCAGTAAGTTCTTATCGGTTGGGTTAAGTTATAAATCTACTCGCGATTCACGTAATCGGGCGAGGGCGGCCAAATATCTGGCGGACAGGCGGCTAACAGCCCAGAACCGGTCACGGATAGAATTGGATGCGGTATACGTGTAGCATCCACCCAAGGTCCTAGGCTTCCACCGGCTAAACCGGGTGAGGTTGGTGCTCTATAAAGCGCATGCACGAATCTGGCTGTTTGGATGCTGACAATACAGCGCTTCCACTCCGCCACTAATATTCGAATATACAACAGCAATCTTATTTTTTTTTTTTTTTTTTTTTTGCGTGTAGTATAGAAATTTGTAATAAGATACATAATGCGGTTATAATAAAATATTGTGCAATTATTTTCATATAATTAAAATTAATATGCATTTATTTTTTAAAAAATACAAGGGAAGCGGCGCATCCACCGCTTACAATGACGGCACGCCACTGTAGTGTACCAAAGACGAAATCTGGTCCAGTCGGAAAAACTGAACGTCCAAAACTGGAAAATCGTTAACTTTCAATTGTTCAAGCCTCTCTCCATTGCAAGCACCCGAAATTAAAGCTGCTTGCACCCTCTCGTCTCCAGCTCATGCCAAAATGCAGCTTTTCTTCTTTGGATATAGGAAGAGTGTCGATTTAGAGATCTGTACTTAGCTATCTCCACGTGAAAAACTCTGTATGATATTGCAAAAACAAGTGTTTCTCGCATCTTAATCACTTCTATTTGCATCAATGGTAATCCACACAGCATATGATGCATGCTTTCCAGACAGACATTTAGACACTAGTACGTGATCAGTTCCTGGTCCATATCTGATTGAAATGAAACTGCCTTCTAACGATAATGGATGAAGCTTGTAATCTAATTCTTTTTTCATTTCGTATAAACAACAGCAGCTAACTGTCCCCTCAACAACCTATTGAAACTGAATCAAGAATTTAACTGTTTCTGTATATACTGGAGGCCCGTAACAGGTGATTTCAATCCAAGTGCAGGAAATTGACATATATTGATCATCCTTGCATTAAATTACAAAAATTCAGTGGGATCATCCTTGCTCCAAACACAACTCCAGGCTTCGAATGGTAATGTGTATGATTGAATATTGCTATTACTTAAAATATTTGTTAATTTTATTGATCGATCCATGGAAGCCGTTAGAACCAGAGTATCACTTCTGTGGAAGGCAATATCTTTAATTGGTTTTCGATAAATACTAACAAATTCCAAAACTCTAAAATCCGTAGTAGAAATTTTTAACTCCAAATCCTGGAAATAGATTAACAGCTTTCTGGAGTATCTAAAACCTTCATTCTCTTTGCAAATATTGTTCTGCAATCTGCACGTTTAGCTGGAGCATTACGCTGTGGACATTTTGATTCTTGACCTAATACTACGTTCGCACACAATCCACGACTCACTTCGATCTCGATTTACCTACAATCTGGATTGTGACTGTCGCTAGTCGAACGTCGTGCTGTTCGCACAGGCAGTCCGCTCGAGAAGAATCTGGCCATTACACGCGATCATAAAACTGACGTAACTACGCGGTAAGTCACAAACACCAACAAACAAAATGGAAGTTTTGGTTAGAAATAAATACGTTTTCTTGACGTACATCTAATAATAGACAGATGTCGTCGTCTCTCCAGCTGTCTTTTTTATTTCTCTGTCGATAGCCCGACACGTGTTCCGCAGCCATCTTGTATTTTCTCGCGCGCGTGGGATTGTGGGATCTCTCTTATGACTGGATCTAGTTTCGAGAACTCTCTCCAGTCGATCGCGATTGAACCTCGTTTCAGTCGAGATTGAAATGGTCGAGAGCGTTCGCACCACGGAACACTCTCCGACCTTAGTCACAATCTAGATCGAAATGCTCGATGCGAACGGTGTATTACAACCATTTACCGTAACTGTATAATTGACCATATTTTAAAGAAACTAACCTACGGTGACCAGAATAATACGGTGTCCATAATTCAAAGCATGTTGAGCATAGTTGACCATCATCAACGCCAGGAGAAACGGCAGTATTTAATCTGTTAACTAATGATGGTGTAGTAAGAACTCTGTTCTGAGTTGAAATGTTTCTAATGTGTTTGTTACCAGAGTCATTACAAGTGAAGCATCACCTTGTTCCTCATTTATTTCACTAATATAATTAACATCTTCTGTGAGTACTTGAGAAATCTCTTCCGATTCCTCCTCTACATGTATTGGTTCATCTATATCTGACAATCTTTCGTTTTTAGGGTCTGGCGTTGAAATCTCATTCTCTGCAGGGGACAATATCTGATTCAAGAGCATTGCTTGACTCAGATTTAGAAAATCAGTCAATTTCTTCACTGTTATCTTCGCTAATACTGGAATATACCTCACTATCAGTGCTTTTTTGGGGGGAAGGTGGTGGAATACTCATCTCATTACTAAAAATATATTACATGCATCGTACACAAGATTCGGCACACAAGCAGGAGCAGGACCGTATTAATAATTTTGTTGCCGATCTTCTATGCTCAACAGAGCGATTCAACACGGACCAAACATCAAATTTTCAAAAATTATCTTAAAACTTTCAAAATATATGGAAAAAAGGTGGTGGAACGCAGTTCCATTCGTTCTATGACAAAAAAGAGCTGCTTACTATCATTCGAATCAAACAGATCATAAAAATCAGAACCAATTTATTAGATACGGTTCAATCGATTGAATAAGCATGCAATAAAGGAATCTCTTGCAACGGTAATAATTCCAGTAATGAAGCTGATCTACGAAAATGAATAATAAATATTAATAATCATTATGGATTTGTAGAAAATGTTAAATATGTTCATTGATCTAAAGGACACATAAATGGAATTCTGTTATGACTAGAGATAGAATCCATTGGAATATCCCAATGGAGTCTACTCGGTCCCCATTGGGATTCCATTGAGTTTGGTTAATTCGTATATGGCAACATGACACATGGGGATCTGACGAGAGAAATTGCCTCCCGGAAAGTCTTTTAAGGAAACTAGCCCTTATTTAGGTGTACTAACGAGAATAAAATCCGGAAACTCCATGTGGCCGGCCCCTTGGCCAAGAGCGAACAAACAACCAATTACCAGTGTTCAGTGGTTTTATCCACTCGGGTACTAGTGGCTGGATATTCTCAGTCTCATTGGGATTCTATTGGGATATTCCATTTATTTTCTGGTTTATTGTCAATGGCAGGTTATTCCATTGTCCATTGACAATAACATTAGTAGATTCGAATGCTTCCATTAGATTCTTATTTAATGCTCCAACAATTTCAAATTTGGTTCCTATATATCATTTCTGAAATTTGAATTACCTCTTTATAATAAATAGGTTCTTAACAACTGTAAATGACAACAAAATACAAAGAGAGAAGTTTTGAGTAAAATTTGAGATGGTAACCTACAATAACAAAATTTACTTCAAATTTTATATACTTATGTATTAAACTTGATGATACTGTCCATCATTTTATGAAAAATTCTTATCTATTAATCGAGATAATCGATAACAACTTTAAAAACTGGCAGAATCCGGTTTAAAAATCTTAGAGACTAAATCATTAATGCAGATTCTATTCTTTTGGAAATTTACTAGAAACTTATAAAAGAGGAACAGCGGCGGAGTGGGATAAGATTTTGAGTCTGGCAACATTCTACTAACTAATGCAAATACTGTATTAATTTTCCAAAAAAAAAACTTGGGTGCAGAGGGACAGAAAAATAAAATGAACTGAAATTTATATAATCAATCACATTTGAATATAGCTAATAAATAATACTTGAAAATTTCAAAAAACAATATTTTACATATACAATTTCTAACAGTACGGGCTTTTCTGGCATTTTTCAGACCAGCCCTATGGCCCATCCACCCGAGGAAAAAACAATTAATTGGGCAATTCAAAAATTGCAACCTTATAACTACATGTTATCACAGTTTACATCTATAACACTCCGCGAATAATTTACCCAAAAATTAAACAATAAAACATTTAAATTACTCCATGAAATAATATAAATCACTGTGTATATATATAGATTTGTAACTATTGTTACTAAATCCAGTTTATTCATCCAGTAAAAGAGGAAACAACTAAAATCCTAGCTTAAAATATCTAAAGCTAAAATAAATCGCTATATTTAATATTAATAATGCATTCAGTGTTCCATTAAAAGGCATGACATAAGAATAAAAGCATAAAAATATATATTATTTTAAGAAGCTTATTTACTTTAACAAAAAATAATAATTAAATATTTTATTTAATTAACTGTTTGCTATTTTTACTTTCCCGGCTGTTATATATAACAGAGGTATGGCGATCGGTCAAAAAATTATTCTCTCCGAAGATTTTCATTTTTTGGCTCAGGACACCTTGAAACGCCGAGAAATGCAAAAAAATAAAAAAAATCGGGGTATATTCTGTATGTATGAATGTTTGTGTGTGTGGAGCACGATTTTGTTCACCATGAAGTTTAACAACTCCTGTGCTTTTTGTCGAAAATTTCTGAAATTTTGCAGGAAGGTTTTTGTATTAGGGGAATTGATGCTATTAAATTTTGGTGGTTAAAGGTTGAGGGGTGAAGAGAAAATGTGGTAGTTTGTATATACCTCTAGTAAGATCGGACTTAATGACGATATTAATGAGTAATATCAGCATTTACAATTTTATTAGCATTTACAATTTTTTTTACAAAACCCATCCTGCCCTCAAAATTGAACTTTTTGCCATTTTATATAAGTTATAACTATAAAAAATTGTAAATAAAATATTATAACAGATGGCGCCACCAAATATTGCCGGGAAAGTTACGCAACTCGTCGCTGGATATTTTCTTTTTTAATTATATTGTTAAATATATAAAAATTCCTGTGCAAGCTTGAATTTCTTTCTATTACTGCTAATGACAATTTAATTTTAATTAATTTTTATGTTTATAATTAATTTATTGGAGATTAAATATTGTATAATTTTAAAGAAATATTTAAAATAAAATTCCATTTATTTGTATTTGTAACTCAACTGTAAAGAAGGAAGATATAAAAAGCGTTTAATTGTAATGACAATGCAAAGAACATGTGTTTGTCAGCCTGTAGTAAATTTTAACTAGGAAAGAATGCTTTAAAAATTTCGAAATCACGCATGAAATTAATAATAATATTCTTCACTACCTTATTATTATTATTTCCTTCAGGAAATAACCGGATGTTGATCTGGATATCCGTTTATTTTTTAATAATAGAATGAAGCCCTCCTCCTAACAAGTGCTTTCTAATTAACTCTAAAAAAAAGGTAGAAAGATAATAGTGTGACATCACACCAGCCTTTTGTACAAGGCACAAAAACTGTCGCTTTGTTTCGATAAATTGCATAAATTATTCGTGACGTAAAGGTGCATCAAAGCGTTTTATCGTGAATTATTATTATTATTTTAAAATTTTCTTACCTAATTTCGTGTGATGTCACACGAATACTACTTTTTAAAAATAATAGCTAAACAGGAAGTAAGGTTACTTTCGACCAATGCAAGCGAGCTAATTCTATGTTTAGCCAGTCCCGGTAGAGTTACTCCGAAATTAGAAAACAAAAAGCGACCTTCTCACATTCTTAAACACTGTAAAAATCATTCAACTTTCTTCCTTTTAGTCGAATTTTTAAATTACTAAATAAATATTTTTCTATTTTTTCCTCCCCTTTCTTCAATTTCAACCAGTTACGCCTAAATAGTCTGACATCACTTCTCGTATACTAAACTGTGTAGGAGGCGATGACGTAAACGCAATATTTTGAGAGATGTTTGCCTTGAAAATAATCTTTATAGGTAAATTGGAGATCATATAAAAGGTCTTAAAACAGAAATTTAGTAAATTAATTAAATATTTTTCTAGGAAAATTAATGTCTGAGGTCACCACCCCTCGAAAAAGATGAAAGACAATAATGGAGTGGAAAATAAGCTTTAAAATGATTAACAAATCACATTCTTTTATACATAGCAGCTCGCTATTCAAAACATAAACTAATCTAATAAACTTTATTAATAGATTGATTAATTTAAACAGGAAGAGATACGCGATTGGTTAAGATTCGAACCGTTCAATTAAAACGACCAATACGATCGATCGTAACAGATTTAAATCGCTGCGTAAGCTTAAAAACCGTTTTAATTTAAATTTAATCGGAACCGAAATCATTGTTAAACGGATATAAAACAGTAAATTATAAAATTAATTGCTTATCAGCCGGATAAATTAACCGGAAAACACAAATGTAAATTATTAAAGCGAACGACCAATAGTAATGCGCGGTTCATAGGATGTTGGCGTAGTTGTTTCTCCGGTTAGCACGCCACACCCCTGTCGACGGTGGAAATTGTGTGAAAGTTTTCAGCAGTTGACCGCTGTGTTTTCGTACCGTAAAGTAAAACAGGCAAATGCCCTTTACAATTTGAAAACAAAGGGGGAAAGTTAAAAAAATCCTCCTGGTGTTGCAAGTGCGTGCGAGCGAACACGTGTCATCGGAGTAACTGTTATGGGATTAAGGATAAGTGATTAAGTAGTAAACAAAATGTCACAAACAGATACCTTTAACACTTCCTTTATAAGGACTCGCTACGGTATTATAAGGATCATCCAGTTGGTAAGCATAAAAATTTGCATATTTTGTAGATTAATTAAGCAGATTAAAGCCGCCATCTTACGCTTCGTGTTATCATGTTTTTTATTTTTTATTTTTAATGTTAATATAGTAACAGATGTCCGGATAACTTCCGTAAATACGTGTCATTTTATCTGTAATTTATTTATCTGTAACGTCAGCCCGAGCAAAGTTTATAACGTTATTAAATTCAACAATTTAATTGGTAAAAAATTTAATATCTGATGCTAATCCTTAGTTGAAAGATGGACGCTTCGTAAAATTTCTTTTACTAGGATAGGTATCTTTTCCTGTATAGGAGAGAGAAGATAACTTAACGCCTTAAGAAAACTTGTAGCAATTTGATCACGTGTGAGGGTCACCCTTAAAATGCTCTCAAGTTCTGTAAGAAAGTAGGTTAAAAGGATTATATAATTCGTTTTAAATCGGCGTAACTAGGCGGGAGGGAGGAAATGTCGCAGCGAATCTTTCTGCTTATTTTTGTGTTTAATCAATTTTTTTTTTAAATATGCGTAATGACTAAAATCGTAGTTTAATTTTATAGCGAAGGACTGACGTGTATACTTTTACTAGCAACTTTTGAGCTTTACGGAATGTTTCCCGCCTCCACTATGAGGACGGCTCCTTGTATGGTGTCACCCGCTCTCTGACGTCATTTCCGCCCGTGGCTGTGTTCCAATATCGTGATGCTAAATGGGTTGTTGCTTCGTTTCTGCAAAAGATACGATTTTATCTGCTACGAAATGGGACTAAATGAGGAGACTAATTGCAATCGCTGAAAGTATTCCACAAGAAATCTTGAATTTTATGGAAAATATTCCTCGAATTCACCTTAAAATAATTGAAGAAATTAAAAGAATATTCCCTCTGAAGCTCATACTGGACCTATTAAGCTTCAAAAAATTTAAGATTTAAGGCGTGGCAAAGTTGAAATGCAGGATTCTTGGACCTTAAAAACTTGGAATCAAATTTCTAAGCAAAGTAAATAATTTAATGTATTCAAATCACATCCCATGTGGAATTTATGTTAAGGAGAAGTAACATAATCTCTTTTTTCAAAAATTAAATACTGATTGCGTTGTCGTAGGTTGCGATTGTTTAATTGCATCAACTACACCATTATTCACCACTAGTTTATTGTGTAATATATAAAGTGATTATGCAAGTGGTTTAGGGGGNGAATTTATGTTAAGGAGAAGTAACATAATCTCTTTTTTCAAAAATTAAATACTGATTGCGTTGTCGTAGGTTGCGATTGTTTAATTGCATCAACTACACCATTATTCACCACTAGTTTATTGTGTAATATATAAAGTGATTATGCAAGTGGTTTAGGGGGGAAATACCGACTCATTTCTAGATTAATCAATATTAAATGCTAAAAATTTTTAAAAAATTAATAATTTTTTGAAAATATTTTTTTTAGGTAGTAACAATATGTGCTCTGATCAGCATGGGTTCTGGTCATTACTGTGGCCACGGTGGAAAATACGGTTTTTACGACTTTGTAGCCGTTTCCTGCCTGATATTTCTAATCATATTCTTCGTCATGATGATCTTGAGATTAGACAAATATTTAACTGGATGTATTAATTTACCATTATCCGTAAGTATAAAGCAAATTCATCTTACAAAAAAATAAATTAAAAATAAACAATTCATTATTAAATCTGACATAACAGAACACAGTTGCGTAACTAGAACTCTTGCAATAAATTTTCTGCCTTCCCCGATTTAGAAAATGAAAGTCTGAAGGGCCCCTTATCTGCATTGATTTTTGCCTTTAAAAACAATTTCCTTTTTTAATTTAAAGTTTAAATATGTAAATCTAGTTCAACAGAACGTCTTTGGTCTTCGGATCCCTGCGAGACGATATACCTTGCATACCGCTTTTTACACTACTGCAGAACAATTTATTGCATAAACAGAAAATTCCAAAATTTGAAAAAATAATATATATTTTTAATCTTAAACTTAATAAAATTTTAAATTAATTTACTACTTCCAGTTCCTCATCAATGATGCGATATTCACAATACTGTACCTCATTGCCGCCATTTTACTATTTACAACCTTAAGTGGTGGTTGCTACGGTAGAGGAGCCAGAATTGCTGCATCTGTAAGCATCTAAATTATTTTTTTAAATCAAATTTTAAAATATTTTATATTTCAAATCTTTATTACAGATATTCGGTGTTTTGGGATTTCTAAGTTTCGTCGCCATAACCATCGACGATTATAACTGGTATAAATCCGGCAATGCACCTATTACACTTACTCCAACAAGTGGAACTGTTCAACCCGCTTAATTTCGGGATTGAATATAANAAATCTTTATTACAGATATTCGGTGTTTTGGGATTTCTAAGTTTCGTCGCCATAACCATTGACGATTATAACTGGTATAAATCCGGCAATGCACCTATTACACTTACTCCAACAAGTGGAACTGTTCAACCCGCTTAATTTCGGGATTGAATATAACTTTCCAAATACTGCCAATATTCTTTTTTTTTTAATTTTTGTAAATTTTTTTCTTTCTATATTAACATAATTATATTAAATTATGGAAATTTGTCACCCCCTTAGGTTCTTGAATGCTTACTGTGTTTTTATTAAATATAATAATTTTTTTGTTAAGTGTTTGGTTATAATTTATTGCTTTATACCGTTAAGCGATATAACAAGGATGTATCTAATAATATCAGAATAAAAATGATTTAATACTGTATTACTAAATAACTTTACCACATGTCAAAGGTAAAGTTATTCGTCGTATCCATCTTAACCATCGTAATATTATACATAACTTAAATTCAAAGTGAATTTAGCATAAAATATAAGGTTCACAATACAATAAGGTAGCGGGAGTAACTTAAATTTTGCTTTATGCTTGCTCTTCGTAGATGTATGGTTTATTTTTCATGATTACTCCACGGATATATGATCTGTGAATTCGCGTAGATCGCACATCCATGGAATCCTGCTTTAAGGCCCACAGAATTAGTGGCATGCACGATGCTCGACACTAGATCTAGCTAGAATGCAGGCCTGCTGCAGCCGTGGCTCTGGCCTTTGACAATCCCAATTGGTTAATAAAATTAACAATATACACTTTGTAGCTCTCTATATATGTGATTTTTGCACCAGGCCCGTGATAGTTTCGTAACACTCATTGTTCTTGGCGTCTTGAAAAAACTCCACATTTATTTTGCAGTACGGTCTCGCAAAGTCCCCCAGTGGCCAAGTGAATAAAGCCACTGAACAGTAGTAGTGGTCGAGGATTCGCTCCTCGCAACAGACTTGCCACGTGGAGTTTCCCGGGTTTTCTTCGTTTGTACAAAACACCTAAATACGGCCGATTTCGTTGTAAATATAAAAAACAATTTTACGTTATTTTACAATATATTTAATTGAATCAACATTAAATATTGTTTATTTTGGGAAGGCAAATAAAAATAGTTTTCTCTGGGTGCATAAAACACTACTAAGGCACTGGTTAATGTAAATTATGTCTAAAAACTAGGTTATAAAATATTTGTATAAATTATAAGAATAATTTAATAATAATGAGTTGATATTATGCATTCACTTGTATACATTATACATATGTACATATATATAATTTAAACTCCTCAATATAATATGTTTTTGGTTTAAAAATTATTAAAAATTTTCATTGTATTCGTTTTTCAGAATAGCAATCTTCATTCAGATTCCATATATACTGTATATGTATGATGTATTGATAAAAATGAAAAATTGCTCTGTTGAAAAAGTAGTTTTTAAGTTAAAAATGCAATTCTGTAAAACCTCTGTTATTTATAAAGTGATTATTCGTTTCGCAAATATGCACAGTCGACATTCAGGCAACTCGTTCTTTCGTACTGTGCATAACACTTTATCTAAAAAACTTAGTTTCCGTACGGAATTCCCTCTCAGGGCTGAACCTAACCTTGTTATTGCTGTAAGTTGCAAGTCCTGTAACATATAACGGATCTTTCCTTACCCCGAAATAATAATACATGTAAAACTGTGAGGATCTAAGTTAGGGCGTGGCGTTATGACTTATGGCGTCTATCTTGCTGCTTGTTTAGCTTCTGCAAATCTGGTCCTGATCCCTTTTATACCATATTTTATACCATATTTTTATTCCATAAAAATAATTCTTTCGTACAAATTTTTACGAGCGTATTACATCAGAAACTCGAACCCCCTGTCTCTTACAAGTTCTCTGTAAATATTTACGCTGTATAACTATATAATTTATTTTAATTTACAATATTTTATTTGAAATGGCATTCTTATGCTATATTTAATAACTAAAATTTATATTTATACTGATTATTTTTGCTTTAAGAATAAATAAATATCTTAATACAATATTTTTTTAGACTAATCATGTGTATCGAACCGTTATACTTTGCTGAAAATATGTTAAGTCATGTGTAATATTTTTCTAAAATTATGCCTGTGAAATAGCGGAAATTTTGCTACACAAGTGCTAAATATACAGATTTATATATTGAAACCGAAGATCAATGGCACATGAATGAGATAAGATAATCATAATTCATATCTTCAATGTCGTGAATCACGAGTGCAATTTAGAAAATTTTACAGAACAGTATACAAGAGTTAGAGTTACATGAAGATGCTTAAATTTAATTACAGAAAGCATCAACATTAAAGAGTCTTAAATTCAGACATATATAAAGTGATAATCTTGTACTACTATATTGAAAAAATGTTTATTTCTACTAAGACTATCTGATACTTGGTATATTTATAATTGATCCTGCATTTAATCTATTTTCTTTTTCTCTGTTTAATAATAAGGAATACAGTAAGCACTTGTTATAAACATGTATTAACCAGAAATGTGAACTAGGAAATGTGAATTTGCATTTTTAATTTTCGGTATATTGGATAAAGTAAGGCCTACAAAATATAAATACAACAAAACTCTAAGTATTCATTACTTAACTCAATTTTTTTTTAATTTTTAGCTCAATATTAATAAAATACAGTAATACCTCGACTTACGCTACCCCGACTTACGCGAACCCGGAGTTACGCGATTTTCAAATCTCGTCGATTCGTCTTTTGTTTGAGCACCAGGCAACTCTTGATTACTCATTCCCTCCACACTATTGTTCAACTAAAATGTTCGGAAGTGTCGCACGGAATCGACACATATCTATAATTTATTTTGTTATTTATTTCTGTGTTTGTTATATCTAGAGAGACTCGACAGACTCTATGTGGTGATTTCTTGTAACAATGAACGAATCAAAAGACGAGGTAAGATTAACGAGAACATTTATTATTACATACATCTGACTTGGTTTTTACATAAATTGCGAAATTATACCCCGACTTACGCGGTTATCGCTCGGTCCCACCTATCGCGTAAGTTCGGGGGTTTTACTGTAATCAGTTTTTGATTCAGTAGCAAAAAGTAATTTATATTTTCAAATCTATTAAATTAACTAGCTTCTTTGACAGATAAGGCTGCTTTAAGCACTTTTGAGGAGCCCAATTTCTTAGAAAGTATTATATAGGTACAGTACATATATAAAACGAAACTAATAGTAACGAGCAATGAGATGAAGCCCCTAAAAGGGAAAGGCCCAGACGACGGGCTGATATGCCCATGCATTAATGTGACCCTGTTGTTTAATCTGTTTGTACTGATGGTTTCTACAACAAAAATAGATGGTATACTTACATTTTAAATTGTAATCTGCAGTTATTTGAATATATTCAGTATATTAATAAGAATAATAATAAATTTATTCAAAAAACAATGATTTGTGAACTAATTTAATTTTTAATAATTTCTGCTTCTTTGACAATAAGCACATCCAGCTGATAGCATGGATTTTAATTACATATAAGCTAGTCGAATGTATTATTTATTTTAATACCTTTTTTGCATAAATATCAAACAAATGACTGTATATAAACGTTATGTTTCTGTATAAAAAGATGATATCACTTTAACAGCACATCCGAATTTAATTAAAATCTGTTATCAGCCAGATAATCTCAGTAACATGTTTCACCTCACAGCGACAAACACTATAAAAGTCATGACAACGACGAAGTTTCTGATTAAATTTAACATAATATTTAAAAATAGCACATTTTAATTGACTTAGGATTAAGCCTTCTAATATTAATTATTTCACGTGAGCAGAAATCTCGAAAGATTTATAATTCATTATCAATTGAACGAAATGTTTGAATATGCGACAGAGGGCAAAATTGAAAAATTTGAATTGTTTGTACATAACTGCATAAAATTCCTATACTTGAGATTGTCTTGGAACCTCCAATCTACACGATAAATTTGTTAGTGAATTATTATTATTATTATTAAGAGGCGAAGTTGAGATTAGTTCCAAATCCCGCCTCATAATAATTAAACCTAAAAACAGTTACCAAGAACTGCTTTGAAGAATATCGACCACCAACACGGCAAACAATATCGAGAATAACATAAAGAAACATCTGTGCAGAGAACGAAGAGAAGCGGCATAGAATGATAGAGACACGAAGGCATAACCATAACTCTAGGAAATCCAGGATCGATGCAATCATTTAGAATTTTTCATGGGCGGTAAGTCCCGTATATGTCGGGCTCCCTACTTCAACACCCTGCCTGGCCAAACCCACGATTGTATATTAAAAGAAAAAAAAGAAAAAGGTTCTTTTTGCACCTATAGGGCATAAGAAAAGTCAAAAACAAAGAAGCATGCAGACAATTTTTAAGCAGCATGAGTAGCGAAAGAGAATCTAGGAGCAAGTCTCAGGAAGAGCGATTTTAATGCACTAAATAAAATAAAATGTAATTATATATATAAGTCCCGATCTGCCCAGGGTAACTGTCTTCTGTTTAGGTATTACTAACGTAAATAAAACCCGAAAAACTCCACGCGGCGGCCTGTTGAAGAGACGAATCCACGACCAAATACAAGTGTTCAGTGGTTTTATACACTCGACCACTGATGGGATTGTATAAACAAGTCCTATTAAATATAGTGGCAAGTATTCATTTGATACAGGATATTTGAAATTCGTCAGAGAAATTTTCAAGAAACTTNTCCATCAGTCCAATTTCATTTCCCTACATTCCTTTGTTTCTTCTTCATTTTCCTTCATATATTTTACAGGCCGACACACACCACAAGGATTATATAAAGGCAAGAGAGTTCAAGATGGACTACCAAGTTTGGACTATTATTCAACCAATTCCATTTCCCCCAAGCTATCACCTAGAGTTTAGGTGATATTTTAATCATTTCTTAGAAAAATAACGGTAGTCCAAACTTGATGGGACCATAATGGGTCCTCCCATCTTACATGTAATTCGTGGAAAATGTGAATCCTACTTATTGAATTATATGGACTTGGTGTTATCAGAAAAGCTTGAAAGAATTTGAGAAGTATTTTTTTTGTTTTTTTAATTTACAAATTTCAATAATTAAGATATATTAATGGTTTATTATGCAAATAACTTCCAAATAGTTGATGTGTTTGTTATCTGTACAAAAATAATAATTAATTAATTGAAATAATAAAATGGATGCCCTTTTGAAAATTTAAAATTTTAAGAATTAATTTTCCTTTTTATTTAGTACTAGCTTACCCGTTGCGCATTGCTGCGATCTCAGAAGAAAGGAAATTCAAGCAAACTCGTTATGATAAAATCAGGGCTGTGGAGTCGCGTAAAAATCTACCGACTCCGACTCCGACTCAACAGCCCTGCCAGGGCTGTGGAAGTCGCGTAAAAATCTACCGACTCCAACTCCGACTCCACAGCCCTGATCGTATTGGTTGAAAAAAGGCATCAGAAACTATTGACAAACTTTATGTTAAGGTATGTCAAAAGTATTTTATACATGATACAGGTATCTATTGTACTTGCTGTTGTATTAATAAAATACTATACCTCCAATCACACCCAAACCTATTACTATTTACTGTGTAGAAACCTGTTTGTCTTGAATTTTTCCCTCATTCCCATGAGGTTCAAGATAGGTTCAACTGTATATATAATTATTGAAATTAAAATTTCTTATGCTTAGGCAAAAGTTACCTTTTGTATAAATATTAAAATTTTGATCAAAACAAGCTGCTTTTTTCATAAACTGTCTTATTTTACAAATTTATTACTCCATTAAGCAATTTATATTTTTCTAAAAACTTAGCGATGTTCTTGGTTTTTTAATTTGAAATCAATTCTGTTGAAATAATCCAGCCCAAAAAATCATTAGGCTATAATAATAATTTTATATATTGAATTTTAACAATTTTTAAAAACTTAATTATTAAATTTATTATTTATACTTCAACATCACTATATAATATCATTGCTACTTACAAAGTACCAAAACTTAAATGTTTAAATAAATTTAATTTGACCAAAAGTTTATTTCTTAATGTTTTGGAGGTTATTTCCTTATCACCATTCTTGTAATATTGCAACTTAATATGTATTTAAAAATGATTGAAAAAATATCAATGGATTCTATAGAAATAATTCCATTTTCAATATATTTTTAAACCAGCTGAGATGATTGTAGAGATTAAAAAAATATGAAGATGAAGAAATGAAACTGTGCTTTCCAAAATTTTGTTTCAAGTTTTGATACTAAACAATCTACAATATCACTTTATCTTTTATTTTTAAATTAATAATTTTTCATTATCTTTTTTTTTTATCAGTTAAACATTTATATTTTTCATTAAAACAAGAAATAACTACTGTCTATTGGCATTAAAATTGTTCTTTGCCTCAAGACAACAAAAATAATTCAATTGATATAATTTATTGTCTTTTTTTCNAAATCCTTTATAATTTTAATTATTTAATTGCTCCTTCCTCTCTTCCTTGGCATGTTCTGAAATTTCTGATAGTTGGATAATAAACCGTTTTATTGTAATTTGTCTTTTTAAATTATTTTTAGTTGATATTAAAATTTGGAAAAGGGGATACCTAAATCGGTAAAATACGCGAATTTCATCCTACAACTTCGGTTGTTGTTCAGGGTACAGTTAAGGTTTTAACGAAGTTCGAGCGAATACGTAATTAGCAAAAAAAAGTTGAAATAAAGTGATTAAACAAAAATTATTACAAATATCGTAAATAACAAATGCATATATAGAGATATTTTTTGGAAAGGGGAAACGGTCTTCACAATTTGAAATAGATCGAACACAGTGCGCGAATGCTCGTGTAAACGCGCGCTATCTACCGTAGGATAAGTGTACTTCGCCGGAGTGTATTAAAAAACTTTCCAAAGTTTCATGGCAATCGTACTATGCCACAAACCTTCGCCAAAGTATATTAAACAACTTCTCAAAGTTTCACGGCAATCGGATAAACGGTGTGGTAATGCATGAAGGACACATACACACACACACACACACATACATTCATTTTTATATATATAGATAATTTAACATGTAAAAATGAAGAAAAGAAAATAATAATAATAAATTGCACTGCGTGTAAATTTTTATTACAAAATCTAACAACAGATGGCGGTACGATCGGTAGTTCAGTTCAAAGCATGACCATTTTACTGTACAGTACTATACTTCAGTATGTATCTTCGAAACAATACAGCCTTAAGCATTTGATAGTGCCACCTTAATACTTATAACACGTTTAAGCCAACAATTACATACATGTTTGCTTTATGATACTCGGTTCTCAGTTGAAAATGCACGTTAAATAAAATTGGATATATCCAAATATATTTGACAAGTAGAATTCAAAATACTACTCAAGGGTCATTAAATTGCTATGACACCATCAATTTTTAAGAACTCTATTACCTAAATGTAAGAATCCAGAATTCTACTTACTGTCACTGCGTGGCCTTTCTGGGTGTCCAAAAATGATTTTATTTTATTTATTTATTTTATTTTAATATTCGACCCTTTATAGTTCTGACCAAATCCATCAAAGGCTTTAAGAAAGATTCAAAATTGAAAAAAGAAGCGAGGATAGGAGACTGATAAGACAGAATACACTTTTAAAAGACAAAAGGAACTCACACTCGTGCATTTTTAGGCGTATATGCCCTTCGTTTTTGTATTGTATTCTCAGCGATCTGCGTGAAATTGGCTTCACAGGTACCCTTCCAAACTATACTCGCGTGTTTGACGCAGATTCAGATGCCTGACAATTATGGGCTCCAATCTCGAACAACTGAAGTCCTTTATACTGCATTGCCTTTTGTTCTCGTTGTGATTATTATGAGTAAGCATAAAATTCCTTCAGAGTACAAATCGTGCAGGAATACAGTTAAGATGAAAATACAGGCTTTTATCGGTTCTGAGGCTATTAAAGCCTGAGAAACAGATAAAAGCCTGTATTTCCATCTTAATTGTGTTCCTGCACGATTCGTTCTCTCAAGCAATTTAATGCTTACTCATAACATTTGAAATACTATTTCGTTGACGTTTTAGTGCATCTGCTTATCTTGCTTACGTTATTCCGGGTCTGATTATAACCGGTACACGTTTATTGATCCAAAAATAATTAGTTAATTATCTCAATTATAGTAAAAGCTATCGCAAGGAATATTTTTGATTGCGTGCAATTGGAAAATTTAAATAAGAGAAATATTTTTACAGCATATTTGATTTATTCAGATTAGTCTCAATAAATTCACTGTAATATATTCGAGAGAAGTGAACATTTTAAATCTGTACACATTGGATTGAAAAGTAAATATTGACCTTTTCAGAATGAAATCGTTCATATATTAACTAATAAACCATACAAACAATTAAAGAAAAGAATTAAACAGACGAAGCGTTACATTAAAGCTGGACATTTAAAATTACTGTAGACATTGATATTTCTGTTTACGAGTTCATTTACAGTCTGTCTATGAGAAGAATCAACTTGGTATTAGCATCAGCCATGATCTCTTAGTTCTGACAAGTTACTAACGCTTTCTTCCTCATTTGTTAAACATGTCACTGCCAACAGTGTTATGGAGGATTCACATTCATGATTTGAAATACGCGGAAGTTCGCTATATTGATTGTTAAATTTACGATTTTTTACAGTTAATGCACGCTATAAATAATTAACAATTAACGGAAAAGTCGCTCTGCCATCTAGTGACAAGATAATAAAATAAAATTTACATATGGCCTAACATATTAAGTGAAAAGTGCTGATTGGTTTAACTGAAGCGATATTACGCATGACGTTGCTCTCAAGGCGATTCTTCGCGTAGACAGCTGAAGTAAGGACCAATTGTAGCAGATAATAAGAGAAGACATTTTTCACGTATCTCGTAGCTTTTCATTTTTATTTCAAAACAAAATTTCCATTGTAAATTTGTAGAGCGAGGTGAGTTCTTAAAATGAAAATTTTATAGAATAATTTTTGAATGGTTGATATATTTTTCGAGTTATTCGTAGAAAAAATATTGTGGAAAATTGTTCGAAATCTTATGCCAATAACGTTTGCATCGCTGGTAAATTACATCCTTTTCTCTCTTTATCTGAAATTTTTGGAGTGAATGTTCTTGAACCTTGTAAATGTCGAAAAAGTAAAATATCCGCCTCTCTTTCCTCAACTTATCAAATGCTAATTGAAATATATCTATGGTATCTTGTAATACTTCTTGCTGTAACTCTTGCAGTCGATATCCCATGCGCTAGAATATTTCTTGTGTTTAAAGAGCATGCTTTCTACTGTAAATTCTTGCCCTTAACTTGTTCTTTATATGTCGCATTGCAATACAGCATTATAAGAAGAAATAAGATCAAATTACATTCCATGTGTAAAAATAATTACAAAGGCGAAGAGAAATATATTGATAAAGTTCAATTCTATGTACGGAATTTCTTTTCGTATATAGTCGTATTACACATGTCACTAGCCATTTTAGTACCGTTTATTGGTCATTCGTATGTTGATACTGGAAAGAAATACAGGATCAGACAAATTGTATGTTTGGTCAGTATTCAAATTTGGTTTATGATTACCTCTATTCATCTCTTCTGTGTGTTTTCCTTAGCCACAATCTGTTTATTACTGGTATCGAAGAGATTATCTAAAATCTCTTTAGAATTGCACACCGTAAATAAAGCGACAAAATATTACCTCCAAAATCTAATCGAAAAATTTATGGAACTATGGGAATTTTTTCAAGATGTAAACAAAAAATGGGAGCTTCTTTTGCCTCTTATTTACATTCATTTTGTTTATGAGAGTTGCTTTCTTTTGTACGGAACCCTTTTTGCTAAGATGAATCTTTCCATTCGACTATTCATGGCTACACTTGTGTTACAAATGTTAAGCTTTACTTTATTAGTCAGTTGGAGAACAGCGACTTTGACATCAATTGTAAGTAGAAATTAACAAGAATGATTTAGACTATTTATATAAGAATCTAATATTATTTCAGATATACGACAATTTCATCTCTGTGGAAAAATATTTCTCTGATCCTCTGACGCTGACATATAAATTAAAAGTAATGTACAGTACCTACCTTAGATTTTATATTCATTTTCATTTTAACCGAAACAAATTATTCATGTTAGGTCGTTTGCTTCATGAAGATATTCGGAGGAATGCCCATTGGAATATCTATTGGGATTTTTCTTCGTGAAACGGAACTTCTTGATTCGAGTAAGATCTCGGTTGTCTTTGCAAAATCAAGTTTATATATAGTATAAAATACTATGAATATCTGTTACTATAACTTAAATAATTACTGTATTAAAAAATCTTTACAATAAAATATTTATTTACGCTGTTTGCAGGCAGCAAGTGGTTTTCACTCGGTATTTTCAACTTTAATTGAACTAACAGGGGTGCTCGACAAGGACAAATGCATTTCGAAACTACATCCAACTAACACCAGCAACGACACAATTGTTTAGAGATATTTCGTAGCAGAATACATCAAATTCGTACACACAATTAAACACGAAATTCTCTTATTCGTACACATTTTTATGAAAGTCTTTTTTGCAATGTCTTAATTCCTCAAAACTGACAGTTATGAGAAGTTACTCCGACCAAATATTCATTCGAATACAAGGCCGAATTTAAGCATTTTGAGGCCTTAAGCTGAACTCTGTGTGAGGCCATTTACCAACTCTTTACAATTTTAGAAGTCAACCATAGAAAAAGAATCAACATAAAAATATTAATTAAATACTACACAAAATGAAAAGTGAAGTATATATTATTGATTTCTAAAAGAAAAAAAAATTTATTACAAATTTTGACTTCAATTTTCTTTATTGTAGAAATTTTTGAGGCCCCCTGGAACTAGAGCTACAGCTTTACATAGCTTTTACATATGTAAAAATCCGGCCTTGCATGAATATCATACGATCAACTGGTTGCTGGATATTTTTCTAGTGTTGTAAACTATGATTATTAATTATTGATCCAAATTAAATGTAGAATGTGGATTGCAGAAAATAATAGTACCTTCTTCATATTGGACCAGCGGTATGGTAGTATTAGACTAGGAAAACTACATAATATAAGGTTACGGGCGAGCACAACACATCTTTTAAATGGTTTTCGAGGGTGGCGACTTTAAATTTTTGTTCCGTTTTATGGGAAATTTGATTAGTTGGTAGATTACCGATTGATATTCGGCTGTGAATAGTACAGTTTCTTAGAGTTAACATTAGGAAAAAATATGATACCTGATATGTTTTAAGATATCATATTTTCAATTGATGTGTACTTGACTAATGAAATTCTGCCATTTCGTACCATCCGAGTATGGTGATAAACGTGACGACAGTGGCGGCCTTAGGGGGTGGCGAGCAGGGCAATCGCCCGGGGCCTCGCTCTTGGAGGGGCCTCGCGCAACAACCAAGTAGAAAAAAGTTGATATTTAAAACTTTTTATTTTATTCTTGGCTATTAGTTATAACAATAAAATAAATTTAATTTATAGTACAGTATATATTAATATTAATAAGTGCCTACTGTTTCAATTCACATACTTTGCACAAAGGACAAGNTATTTAAAACTTTTTATTTTATCCTTGGCTATTAGTTATAACAATAAAATAAATTTAATTTATAGTACAGTATATATTAATATTAATAAGTGCCTACTATTTCAATTCACATACTTTGCACAAAGGACAAGGGCCTCGCAAAGATCTGCCGCCCAAAGCCTCGCAATGGATAAGGCCGCCGCTGCGTGACGATAGGCTGAAATAACCAAACTCTTTATATGGTTTTCGCTTTAATGTTTGCTATATTATAGTATTTCATTTATATAAATACAAACGTTATCTTACATAAGGGTTTATCATACCGAGTGACCAATCCGACACATTTTTAAAATTCTTTTGTGAGCACAATTTAAATAATTTTTAAAATGTGTTAGATTGGGCACTCGGTCTGATAGACTCTTACTTAAGATAACCGTTGTAAATATAAATCAAATACTATAATATGAAATACAGTGAAAACTGCTTAGGCGACCACCTGCATTCGACGGGCACCTATCAAAACGGGCAAAAATTTCTGGCAGGGAATAGTTTATCCATAGAGTCTTCGTATAAGTTACCTGTATTAAACGTCCACCTGTGTAACGCGACCATGGGCATCGATTTTTGGTCCGAAATAGCATACAACACCTGTAATAAGCGACCACTTTCGCGAATGTATCTGGTCTAAACTATTGTAAGAACCCATCTCAACAACGTTTCCACCTCCTAATATAATGAATTAGTCTAAACTCTCGTTCGAATCCATCCCGGGCACTTCTCCCACCCTTGAAATTAGGTGCAGGTGTTAATAAATTAGTCTAGCAACAAAGGAAATTCATTTCAGTTTGTTGGAAAATGTCCGAAATGCAAAGTGCTGTCGTTAGAAGATCGTATTAAAGTTATCACAACAGCAATTAGCGGCGAAGTTTAACTGTGGGAAAACAAAATTTATTTTACCCTAGACTTACAGTAATTTCCTTGGTGGTGTAAAATATTGTACACGATACAATTAATCGGCTGATCTCATCGTTTCATAAAATCTATTTTTATTTATTTATTTTGAAGCTTATATGCAGTACACGTGCGATAAATAGTAGAGAGGTTGAGGCAGACGTTTTAAACGTGTAAACGTGTAGGACGGACGTTCGGTGCCGCTTACCCGTAAGCCTAGAAGTTTGACGATGGTGTTTGGAATGTCGAGCGTGATTCCACCGACTATCCAAACACCATTGTCAAACTTTTAGGCTTACGGGAATGCGGCGCCGAACGTCCGACCTACACATTTACACGTTTAAAACGTCTGCCTCAACCTCTCTAGTTTCTGTATCAACCTACCTTATTTCCACGATATTTTTAGAAAAATAATATCCAAGTAATTTTCGCAGGCAAAATATTCAAAAAACAATAAACGCATTAATGCAAAATTCAGTTTTACTTCCTTTTTCGATTCCGCGATTGTAATGAAATCGTATAATGAGAAAAAAATAATAAAATCGTTTTATTATTAATTAATAATTTTTCTTATTGTACTTAATTAATTAAGAAAACATTAAATATTAAAAAATACAGTATTTTTAAAGTAAAAATAAGATTAAACTAACGAAAACTAAAAGCAAAGTGATGGAGAGATAGGAGCGTTGTATATCGATGACGTAATACACGTAACTGAGGAGCGAACGAAAAGAACCGAGTCGAATTAATTAACCCCCTTGAGACATTCCAATTTTTGATATTAATGTAATTAAACATAATAAATATTTAAAACTGAAAAAAAACGAAAGAAATGCGTTAATTTTGAATAAAAAGCTTCAAACTTTATTTTCCATTGTCTCGCCTTTCTGCGAAATTTAACACCAATGAGTCATTGTTTACACAGCTGGAGTCGTATTTCCCGGGGCATTCTCATAGAAGTCTCGGGAGGACAAGGGTTTAAAGTAGGGTGAATACTAGCTGGCCGTATATTTTAAAATATTTTTAAAAAATTAAAATTTTAATTGCGATTTCCGACCCCCCTATTTAATTAAACTTATTTATAATAAAATATATTAATTAAAAAAAATTAAAAAGTATTGGAGGTCGTTTTTGACATCAGAAAGTAGCTTTAAATAAGTTTACCGAAGTCAAATCCAAAAACAACCTCCAATAGTTTTTAAATTTTTTTAATTAATATATTTTATTATATATAAATTTAAT